TGTACAAATAGGATAGCTACCCCTGCTTTTTTCTGGGCTGCTGTCACATAAAGTATTATTTTCCATCCTTTCACTTTCAGTCTATGAATTTCTTTTTTAATTCAGTGTGTTTCTTGTATGTAGCATATTGTTGGATCTTGCTTCTTGATCCATTCTGCCAGTTTGTGCCCTTTGATTGGTGAATTGAGACCATTAACACTGATGGTTATAATTGATATGTACTGACTTATCCTTGTTATATTTTTTTGTTGGCTCCCCCTCTTTTTTCCCTCCCTCTGTTAACTGTTTATATTATTAAAATAATATTTTAAATTTTGCAGTGATAGGGATCAAACCCAGGCCTTGTACATGATGCTTCAACTCATGGGTCCTTTTATTATTCACTTCCTTTTGCTTATAAGAAAATTTAAGCTGGGTGCAGTGCAGCATGCCTTTAGACCCAGAAATCAGGAGGATGAAGCAGATCCTTGTCACCTGGGACTCATTTCAAATATGACCTACCCAAAGAGTCCTTTCTTTTCCATCCTATTCTAAGTTTCCCTTAGAAGAGAAAATTTGAGGCCAACCTGGGCTACATAGTGAGTTGAAGGCCAGCCTGGACTATATAGCAAGACCTTCTGTCAAATGAAAATAAAGGCCAAAAACGAACCAAATAAGCAAACAAAAAACAAAACTCTGGTTGTATAAGGATAAATCTTTTCTTCTGCTTGCTCAAAAGTGACACCAGGAGTCATACTCAGCTACCCTGTCAGTAGGGCCACTCTTTCCCAACTCTGTGCCCTGCATGAAAGTAGACTTTGAGCCCTGGAAATGATCTACTCCACTGCCTTTGTGTTTGTGTAGGAAAACTACAGAGGAAAGCTCAGAGAATAGGGCTTTGCTCATGGGTACTCAACAAGTCTGTCACCAAGCCAGGATAGGATCCCAGTCTTTGAAATCCAGTGTCCACAACCGGGGCTCCTCGCCTACTTAGCAGGCACTATCTGGGAGAGCTCTGGTGCCCATGGGCAGACCTGGGTTCAACTCACATCCCTCATCAGCCTGCCCAGTTCAGAGCACCCAGGCCCTGAGGTGGAAGTGAGGCCTGGAGAAAGTGGAGCCACCATGGCCCTGCTACAGTCGCCTTCAGAATCAGAGTAACTGGGGACACCGAGAGGGTAAAGAAAGACCCTCTGAATCCTGGCAAGATTTGGAGTAGAAAGGAAGGGTGTGTGTGTGTATTCATGTCAGGGCTTTGCTCCCATCCCCTTTTGGCTCTTCTGAGTCACTTGCTGATAAGGTTAGGACACATTCTTGAAGGGAATGGTCACAGGAGTTCCCTGGGCTTTTCCAGCCCCAGGCCAGTTTCTATTCCTCTTGGGACTGAACCAGTTCCTGCTTCACAGTCAGTACCCCTTCCTAGCTGGTAATACAGTCACCTTCACCTCTAACTGTTGCCCTGGGACATGCTTGGACCAGACCTGAGGTTAGAGGAGAGGACCACCTACCTCCCTCACATTTTCTCTGGGTATGGGTCCCTGGTATCCAGTAAGGGCCTGACCTTCCAATGAACCAACTGTCCCTGCCTTCCCCATCCCATTGCACTTCCCTCCTCCACCTTTCCAGGCCAGTCTTGGATGGGCCAGGCAAGGCGAGAAAGATCAAAGATCCCTCCCTGTCACCTATCTCCGCGCCCTAACCTAGGAACAAACAATCGCTTGGCCTAAGGGAGCAGCTCTAGCAATCTGAGCCGTGGGGAGCAGCGCCCTCGTGTGGCCCTCAGGAGAAGCGCTTCTTGCTCAACCCCTTCCTATGTGCTCATCGAACAAGTATTTATTGAGAGCCACTACCGGTTGTGTGCCAGGCTGCTCTAGGAGCAGCAGCCACAGCAGATAAGATGCTTTGTCTGTGGACTGTGTGTATGTCAGTTTTGTGTATGTGGAGAGGCAGGCAATAAATGATAAACAAATAAATAAGTCAGTTACTAGCAGTGATAACTGCTAGGAAGAGAATCCAGTGAAACATGTAATACTGAGTGGGCCCAGAGGGAAATTCAGCACAGGATGGAAAAGGCAGGATTCTTTGCGTATGTCATATATGAAATGAGACCCAGGCAACAAGGACCCAGGATGTGTGGGGGAAAAGCTTTCCTCAGAGAGCACAGCTACTGCAAAACCCTCTCGGGCAGGAACAGGCTTTGAATAACAGAAGCTGGTGTGGCTAGAAAGGGGGCACATGGTACATGGTCAGCAAGCTCGGCTGAGCTCAGACCATGGATCTGATGTCCAAGAAATCAACTTGATTATTCTTCTGGGAGTAGAGAAGTATTTGGTGGGTTGTTGTTTTTTAAACAGGGTCTCATTATTACACAGTTCAGGCTGGTCTTGAACTCACAGCTAGCTTCTGCCTCAGCCTCCTCAGTGCTGGGATTACAAAGTGCACCACTAATCCTAATGGTAGCTAGGATCAGGGCAGTAGTGTTGGAGGTAGGGAGATGTGGTTGGTTCTGGTAGAGTCAAGAAAGTTTGATAAAGGACCATATTCTCTTGTTCATTTGGCTCTAAGCACTCCTTCACATGCACACCCAAACTGTTTCCTTTATCCTCAGTCAGGGGCTGAATTAAATGGGTAGATCCCAGGAGCACAGCTACATTGAGGGTTTTTCAGATGTTACAGGACAAAAAAATTTAAGACATGGCCATTGTGGCCAGGCATGGTGGTTGCCTTGGTTACTTTTCTCTCATTGCTGGGACAAAATACCTGACGTCCCAAATTAAGGAAGGAAAGGTTTATTTTGCTTACAGTTTGTGGTGGAGGTTTCAGTCCATACTTGGCAGGTTACAAGGCAGAGTGGCACATGGCAGAGGACTACAGCTCATCGCGACAGAACAGCAAAGCAACAAGCACACACACAAGGAAGGAAATGGCCAGAAGCACCCTCTCTCTCTCCCTTAAATATGCAAACTATCCACCCCAGGGTGGGTGTAGCTCTCACACCCATAATCAATCAAACTCTAAAAGCCTGCCCCATGGCCACATGAGGCTTTGGGGGGACACCCAGACACAAACCATAACATTCCACCCCTGGCCCCCCAAAGACTCATGCCCATGCCTTTATACAAACAGCATTTAGTCCATCTGCAAGAGTTGCCAAAGTCCTAACAGTTTCAGCATTGCTGACGAGTCCAAGTCCCAAGTCTCCTCCAACATGTAAGGCAAACTCTTAGCTGTGAGCCCCTGTACAAATGAAAAGTTAAACACTTCCAACATTCAATGGCACAAAATAAGCAGTACCATTCCAAAAGGTACAAACAGGGGGACACAGAGCATTGGGACCAAAGCAAGTCCAAAATCCAGTTATGTCCTGTAGTTCCATGTCCAGCATCTGAAGCAATCTGTGGCACACTGTGAGCTCCAAAGGACTTGCATGAGTCCACCCCTGTGGCACTTCTGGTGGTTACAGCTTCCATGGCTTCTCTCTTAGGCCTGCTTTGCTCCCTCCTTGCAGCTTTCCTTAGATAATCCACAGTCCTGGCTTTTCTAAACTTCTGAGGTCTCCAGGGCACCTTTTGCTTCACACTCACAGCTTCACACATTACCCTCTCAGGGGCACACTGCCTGGCCTCCCAGGCCTTCTGAAATCTGGGTGGAAGCCTCTTTAACCTCAGAACTCTTGCATTCTCCATGCACTTAGAGCCAGGGCCACGTGGATGATGTCAAGGTCTGCTGCCACCTGGAGCAGTAGCCAAGTTTTCCTCTCTCTTGGCCACAGGGGTCGAGTGCCTGGATCACTGGGCACTCTGAATCCAATGCTGAGGAGCAGATTTTCTATGCTGCTGCCATTCTGGAACCTGGTGCGGTGGCCGCCGCCATTCTGGAACATGGCGCTCAGCAGCTTTCTTCTCAAGGCAAGGTCTTTCACCTTTGCAGTTTTGAGGCTGCAAAGGGTGGAGACTTGCTACTTGTGATGCCCTCAGGCCATCTTTTTTATTCTCCTCTTCCTTCTCAGCAATAGAGATCTCCTCAGCCTTATCTTTGCAGTCCACAGCATTACTGGAGCTTCCTTTCTGGCCAAACTCATAACATTTTAAATCATCCTGCTGGACTCTTTGTTCTTGATTCTCAATATAAATCTGGCTAAAAGCCCCCAACAATAGCCATGCCATTGCCCCAACGTTTGACTGCCTTGATATTTCTTTTGCCAGATTAACCAGTCCACTGCTGCCCTTAATCTCAGTCTTAGGCAAAGTCTCTGGACACGAGCAAAATGCAAACTTTCTGCCAAGCCATAACACACATCACCTGGAGTCCAACAACCAATGCAGTCCTTCTTCCCAACAGAAACCTCCCAAACCCGGTCTTTACCGGCAGAATTTCTATCAGCTTTCTGGTCTTCTGAGCTCTGACCAGAATCTCCCAGACAGAACAGCCAAAGGTGTTCTAGCAGTTCTCTTTCAGTTGATATCTCTGAACCTTTCCAAACACTTCCCACAAGCCATTTCCAAAGGTTCCTGAACCACATGGTCAGATATAGTCACAGCAACAACCCCACTCCTGGTACCAAATTCTGTCTTGGTTACTTTTCTCTTGTTGCTGGGACAAAATACCTGATGCCCAAAATTAAGGAAGGAAAGGTTTATTTTGCTTACAGTTTGTGGAGGTTTCAGTCCATACTTGGCAGGTTATAAGGCAGAGTGGCACATGGCAGAGGACTACAGCTCATTACGACAGAACACAGCAAAGCAACAAGCACACACACAAGGAAGGAAATGGCCAGAAGCACCCTCTCTCTCTTCCTTACATATGCAAACTATCCACCCCAGGGCGGGTGTAGCTCTCACACCCATAATCAAACTCTAAAAGCCTGCCCCATGGCCGCATGAGGCTTTGGGGGGACACCCAGACACAAACCATAACAGTGGTGCATGCCTGTAATCCCAGTACTTGGGAGGCTGAGGCAGGAGGATTGCTTCAAGTTTGAGGCCAGCCTAAACTACATAGTGAGAGTCCAAATAAATAAATATTTAAAAAGACATGGGCATTGTATTCTTCATGACTTGCCTCCACTTTCCATCATTAGCCCATGTACTGGGCAGGGTCTCCACTTGCTGTCTCCCTTATTCTGCCTGGTTTCCAAAGGCCTGGTTATTTAGGTCTCATTATGTCTGTGGCCAAAGGTTATGTCTGTAGCTTCCAGGGTGTGTTGTTGACACCTAAAACAGTTTGGATGTTTAGTATTTGTATTTGATACAGGCTAGAGGACAGCATAATCTTGGGGGTGTCAGTACTCCAACTAGGCTGGCCACCTACTCTTATTTGTTTACACAAAACACAACAGGTTCAGACCTGATCCCACAGGAAATTTACATACACACTTTGGTTCCATGTTGGGCATTTCTGGAAAGCCTGGAAAATGCCATGTTAGCCCTATAAACACTTCCAGGCCAACTGTGGTGGGAAAGCAAGTTTGGGAGGAGGTGAGCTGGTGTGCTCTGGAGCCAACAGGCCTGGCTCTGTTTGTGTTGGCTGGCTGGAGGTGCATTATAAATGCAGTCAGCCAGAGGCCACACTGCTCCTGAGATTCTTTGCAAGCCTCACTAAGATGAAGCTGCCCGGCCAGGAGGAGCATGAAACTTCCAGTGCTCGTGAAAATGTTTCTGCAGGGGGGCTGGACAGTGACCATGGCTCTAGTCACAGCCCTAGTGGCTCTTCAGAAACACACAGCAGAGAACTGGGGTTACCCAAGGACCCTCCGCTCTTCATTCAGCTGAATGAGCTGCTGGGCTGGCCCGAGGCCCTAGAATGGAGAGAGACAGGCAGGTGAGTGGGACCCAGGCTAATTCTATGAGGCCCTTCCTCTTCCACAACTGGGACCTTCCCCATGATACCCAGCACCTTTTACAGGGCTCCTTCCCACTCCAAATCAGGACTTGTCCTCTCCGTCTTTCTACATTCGATGGTACTCAGCATCTTTGGCAGTCTAGTTTTGAGATCCCTAAGACCTAAAATGAGGGGTGACAGCCCAGGGAGGGGCATACACTGTACCACTGGGCCCAGGACTCCCCCACTGCCTGACCTTCCTTGGCTCCCATGTACCTGCTCCTGGATGTTGAAGAGATTTCCCTAATAACACTGTCTACCTCCCTCCATCACAGGTGGGTGCTGTTTGAGGAGAAGCTGGAGGTGGGTGCAGGGCGGTGGAGTGCCCCCCATGTGCCCACCCTGGCACTGCCCAGCCTCCAGAAGCTCCACAGCCTGCTGGCCAAGGGCCTCGTACTGCTGGACTGTCCAGCTCGGAACCTTCTGGAGCTTGTGGGTAGGATGGGAGCTTTTTCATGGGGCCCTGGATAGACATGCTATTTCCTTGGGATTTCCCCCAGAGTTGTGGAATCTCCTATAGCCTATCCCATGCTCTCCCACCTTGGGGATTGCCCATCTTTGCAACAGGGTGGAACTGGAAATGCAGAGCAGAGAATAATCATCAGTCCTTGTTTTCCTTGAGATTCCTAGAGGGGAAAGAGGGCTGTGCAAGGGGGGAGGGGTTGAAAAGTGAGGTCAGGGAACTTTCAAGAAAAAGTTCCAGCCCCCACATCTGTTCTCCAGAGCAGGTGATCAGAGCGGAGTCACTGAGTCCAGAGCTGAGAGGGCAGCTGCAGGCTTTGCTGTTGCAGAGACCCCAGCATTACATCCAGACCAGGACCTGGCCCTGCTGGGGTGAGAGGCCCCTCTTTGGACCCAGGATCAATGCCCCAGGGTGGGAGGATCTCAGATATCCCCTGCACCTTCCTGAGCCAGGAGTGGCCTAGGGTTGCCTCAGACTTCAACCTAGGACTTGTGGGCAAGAGAAGGCTTGTGGTAATGGTGGTGGGGAAGGAATGGGAGGAACATCAATCTTATACATTAAAAAAATATATACTTTTTAGCTGGGCATGGTAACACATGCTTATTATCCCAGTGCTCGGGAGGCTGAGGCAGGAAGATTGCCGTTGGAGGCCAGCCTGGGCTACATAGTGAGTTCAAGGCCACCCTGAACTATAATGAGACTCTGTCTCCAAAAAAACCAAATAAAGAAATAGATAAATAAAATCCTGCACTTTTTAATTATTCTGTGAAGGGGTGTACTTGGTAGGCATTGTGCCAGGAGCTTTACACAGAGCATCTCATTTAATTTTCACAGTCACCTGGAAGGTAGTAACACAATTCTTTCCATGTTAGTGATGAAAAACAGGCTCAGGGTGCGCTCCTGCTCTCACAGCTTGTCAGGGGAAAAGCTGGCTGGAAAGCCCTGGTGGACCTACCCCCCAGCCGGTACTCTTAACCCTGCATAACCCTGTTTTGTAGGATCTACCCCTCCGAGAAAGGCATCTCTCAATGAGGGTGTGCCTCCAAAGGAACAGGTTTGTGGCCTTTCCTTGGGCAAGGTTGGGCGAGGGGTGAGGCACGAACAGAAGCCCATCCCACCGGATCCCTCCTCACTGGAGATCCTGCCAATATCCCCCTCCCCAAATAACCTCTCCTATTCTGTGCCACCCAGACTCAGAACCCTCTGAGACAGAAGCTGCCTCCAGGGGCCGAGGTAGCTGCTGTGCTAACTGGAGAGCTGGGCTTCCTTCCTCAGCCACTGGGGGCATTTGTGCGACTTCGGGATCCAGTGGTGCTGGGGACGCTCACTGAGTTGCCCCTCCCGAGCAGGTGAGGCTACTGCTTGCGACACTCTCACATCCCGAAGAAAGGCTTCTACTGGGGAGAAGTCTGGTGACGCATTCTCCCAACACAGTTCTCTGTGGGTGTGTGTGTGGGGGTGAGGCACAGGGTCGGGGACTGCGGAGCAGGTGTGCCCATCAGTGTTAGGGGGGCTTTCAGGGAGGTCAGAGCTGGGTTCCAGAAGGCAGGACTACCTATGGGAAATTTCTATCGGGTGATTTCTATCTTTGCATTTGGAGTCAGCCCCTGAGCGTCTCTGAGGGCTGGTTCCTTCTTCAGGTTTTTCTGCCTGCTCCTGGGCCCTGCCATGCCGGGAAGGGGGTATCGTGAGCTGGGTCGAGCAGCAGCTGTCCTCCTCAGTGACCTGGTGAGCTGGGCAGATGTGCACGTGTGCGTGACTTAGCATGCATATAGACTCTCCCTGTGTAGCTAAGTACAATGAGGTAGAGTGTGGCTTTGTGTCTGTAGCCTGGGGACTGAAGTTTCCATGGCTACCAATCTAGCCTGCATTACTGGCAGAGAGCTGGCACACAACAGTCACTGAATGGATGAATACACGCATGCATCAGTGCATGAGTGACCCGTCTACCTATGTAACACGTGTGTCTCCTTTCAGGAAATAAACAAGTGAAAATGCATGTAAGAGTTCAAACCTGCATTTACTGCCGTTCTGTGCTTTTAAACACAGCAATTCCAGCGGTCAGTTCGTCGGGCTAGCAACCTTCAGGACCTTCTGGCTGCCCTGGATGCCTTCCTAGAGGAAGTGACCGTGCTCCCCCCGGGTCGGTGGGACCCAACAGCGCGGATTCTCCCGCCCAAATGCCTGCCCTCGCCGCACAAAAGGTACCTGGAGGCCTTCCTTCCCTGTAGATCCGTACTGCAGGCGGTAAATCTGGAGCAGCTACAGCCGAGCCGGTGATTTCTGCCTTTGCATTTGGAGTCAGACTTCAGTTCTGTGCTACCGTGCTCTCGCTCATGAGGCCTGAATAACCTTAAACAGTTCGGCTTGGCTTTCACCAGGTGCAAGGCGACCTGGACTTTTTTGCCCCATCTCAGTGGCAAGCGCTGTTCCACCCGCGTCGCCCGCGCCCCCAGCGCTCCCCGCAGCCTCCAGCTCTGGGCCACGTGCCCGCTGCAGACCCCGTGCCCCTCGTCCTCAGGTCGCACCCGCCGGAACGGGAGATCCGGGGCCTCTCCGCGTCGTGCGCCGCCGGGGCAGAGCACAGCCCCGGCCGCGGGCCTCAAGGAGCCTGTCCAGAGTTGCAGCGCACTGGTCGGTGAGGCAGCTGAGTGGAGCAGAGGTTGGGGGCCCCGCGGGGGCAGCGGGGAGTCGTGGGGACCGAAGTATGTGCTCACTGCCGCTGCCCGGGCACAGCGGGCCGTGGAGAAGTAGTGGGTGCAAGCATCGGGCGTGGGAGCCCGGATTACTGACGACCTGTGGGGGGAGGCTGTTTGGGGGTCTTGCGCAGGACGTGAGCCGGAAAGCTTCGTGGTACAGCACCGATTTCTTGGACGCCCTGCACCCTCAGTGTTTCTCAGCTGTGCTCTACATCTACCTGGCCACCGTCACTAACGCCATTACTTTCGGGGGTCTGCTGGGAGACGCCACTGATGGTGCCCAAGTAAGCGTCAGTGTCACACCTATACAGCCAGGCCTGTGGGTGGGTGAGGAGGGTCCCAGGAAGCTTGGGTTCTGAGCTGAGGATGCCAAGGTCCTGCTGGCTTCCAGGGAGTGCTGGAAAGTTTCCTGGGAACTGCCTCGGCTGGAGCTGCCTTCTGCCTGCTGGCAGGCCAGCCCCTCACCATCCTCAGCAGCACCGGGCCGGTGCTGGTCTTTGAGCGCCTACTTTTCTCTTTCAGCAGGTAGGAAACCTCCACCTCCCCAACCCTCCCTAGTCACACCGGCACCCTGGTCCTGGTTAGGTCCACAGGAGAGGGTGGGAACTGTCTCTGGTTTGGGGCTACCTACCCTGAGAGGTGGGGAGAAGACACATCTGGCTAGCTCTCGCCCTCACAGAGATCACAACCTGGACTACCTGCCTTTCCGCCTGTGGGTGGGCATCTGGGTGGCCACCTTCTGCCTGGTGCTGGTGGCCACAGAGGCCAGTGTGCTGGTGCGCTACTTCACCCGATTCACAGAGGAAGGCTTCTGTGCCCTCATCAGCCTCATCTTCATCTACGATGCCCTGGGCAAAATGGTGAATTTGACCCATGCATATCCCATCCAAAGGCCTGGGTCCCCTGGCTATGGTTGCTTCTGTCAATACCCAGGCCTACAAGGTGGGTCAGAGAGACAGGGACCTTGGCTAGGTGAGGAGGGTTGTGGGAGGGGTTTCCCCTGGTTAAGCTTAGTAAAGTGGTAAATACTTATCCACCAGCATGTTTTCCTACTCTGAAAAACAAGACAACAGAAAACCCAATATTGTCTTTATTTCTGACCACACTAATAGAAGAACATAGATTATATGTATAGGTGAATTGGCTTCCTAACAGTGAAGCCAAAATTAAACTTACCCACCCAGCCATGGCGGCACTGGACAGGGACTGTCTTGCCTTAGAGGAGCAGAGATAATTATATGCACCAAACAGGCAGCTTACTCCTGAAAGGGGAGAGAGGAAGGGCAGGGCCACACATGCCCAATTTCATCTCCTAAACCTACCAATCAAATAAATCATGGCTGTCTGTGGATGAGAGTGATGGACCAGGTGAAGACAGGCTTGGAGTATTACACGTGCATCTATCCCTCCACACAGAAGGTCTCACCACAACTGAGAAAGAATTGTTCTAACATATGCCAGACTCTGCACTAGGCATGACTAAGACCAGATTTTTCCCTGGTAGAAACACAAATTCCTAAGTAGCTCAGGCATCCAACCAACATTTGCTGAGCAACTGCTGCATCCTGTGCTTGGCACCAGGGATATAGATGAGTAGAGAATTTGAGGGGTTAAGTGTGCGAGGCAATGTCTTGAGCAGTACACATAGAGTTGCAGTGACCTGAGCAGACAGAGGAGTCAGAACTAAGAACTCTCTGGTTTAGCTATACTCAGGTTAGAATCCCATGGGATCCGAGCATGGTGGTGCATGCCTGTAATCCCAGTACTCAGAGGGCTGAGGCAAGCGGATGGTGAGTTCGAGGCCAGCCCGGGCTATGTAGTGAGTTCACGCCAGCCTGAACTGTACAGCAAGACCCTGTCTCAAAAAAAATGTTATAGAATCCTGTGAGGCTGGAGAAGGAGGAATGTACTTGAATTATTCTTTGTTTCTCAGGAAATGAGTCTCAGTGGGCAACAACAAAGCCAAAGAACAGAGATGACATCTTAAGCATGGTGAGGGCTTGCTGCTAAGAGGGTTTGGAAAAGAGAGGGTGACAACCAAACCAGTTAGTGGTTCCCATTTCTTCCCACCCCATTGGCTAGGGAAACACCCATAAGGTCACTGAGGCTCAGCCACTTCCTGTGGTCAAAGAGCCTGGGTCCTGATGTCTCTGTGGGTCCCTCTTCCCTTGCTTACTCTCCTGGACCTTCTCATATGCTGCCATAATCCCATCCTTGACCATCCCTTTACACAGGACCTAGGCCTGGTCAATGCATCTTTGCTGCCTCCATTTGAGTGCACCCAACAGGGAGGCCAACCTCGTGGCCCTGGCTGTCACACAGTCCCAGACATTGCCTTCTTCTCCCTTCTGCTCTTCCTTACCTCCTTCTTCTTTGCTACGGCCTTCAAGCACGTAAAGACAAGTCACTTCTTCCCCTCCGTGGTGAGTGTCACCTTTCCTTCTGTAGGAGAGGCCTATTCTCAGACTTGAGCTCAGTGTGCAAATGGGAAATAGTATGTATGGAAGGGGATGGCAGGTCCAACCCTGACTGAGTGTTCACTGTGTGGCCAGGTGCGCAAAGTGCTCAGCGACTTCTCCTCAGTCCTGGCCATCCTGCTGGGCTGTGGCCTTGATGCATTCCTGGGCCTAGCCACACCGAAGCTCACGGTGCCTACAGAGTTCAAGGTGAAAGCTGGTGGGATGGGGAGGGGAAGGCCAACAGACCCTGCCAAAGGAGATGCATAAATCCTACACCTCTCTTCCTCTAAGCTTCTTTTCCCACTCTTAAAATGGCAATAGTAGTAATAATGGTCTTGCAGGATTACATGTGGTACTGCAGCAGAGACATATGAAGATGTGACCAAAATATCTGGTGAACATTTACATTTTATTACAGTAAAAAACACATTCCTATTAATCTCCCTCAAAATACTCCTCCTTACGTGTGCTACTTTCCTATCATTCTTGCTAGTTTCTGAAGCAGTTCTGGAAGTCCTCTTTCCTAGTGTCTTTATGAGGTGTGGTCTGAAATACGATGAATCCTGCTGCCGAGTGCCATCCAACAGAAAGGCAGGTTCATAAAAACATTACAGTGTGTCCTCATCTGTCTTATTCACTGGATCTGGCACTGTGCAACTTCTGGCTCTTCCCCAAATTTAAAATGACACCGAAAGGTGAAAGTTTTGAATCGATTCAGTACATCAAGGCAGCCATGACAGTGAAACTAATAAAGACTCTCAGGAAAGAGGACTTCCAAAACTGCTTCCGAAAGTAGGAGGAATAGCTGGGCTGGTATAGTAGTGCGAGCCTGTAATCCCTGCACTCTGGGAGGCTGAGGGAGGAGAATTGCAAGTTCAATCTAGCCTGAGCAATTTAGCGATTTAACAATTTAGCAAGACCCTGTCTCACAACTGGAAAAGGTACGTGTGTGCGCGCGCGCATGCTGGGGATATAGCTTAGTGGAATGCAAAGGCCCTGATTTCATTCCCCAGTACCAGGAGAAAAAAAAAAAAAAAAAAGTAAGAAGATAAAAAGAAAGTGGCAAGAATGATGCAAGAAGGCCAAGCAGTGCAGTAGTTCAGCAGGAGCTCAAGTAGCTCAGCAGCGCAGCACCTGCCTGGCAAGCTCGAGGCCCTGAGTTCAATTCCTAGTACCAAAAACAAAAAGTAAAAGAAAAAAAGTTAAAAAAAAAAAAAAAAGACCAAAAAGAATGATGCAAGAGGGAGTATTCTAAGCAAGATTAATGGCAACATGTCTCTCACTGTAATCAATTTTAAACAATTTTTAAACAAACATCCACTGTAGTTTTCAACCACACGTTTTTTGGTAAGTGGAAGAATACTATACATAGTAGCTATTATTATAGGGTAGGGATTAGGAGAATGGGTTGTGGTCAGCCAGCCTTGGGTTTGAGCTCCAGTTCTGCCACTTTTTAGCAGTGTATTAAGCAAGTTACTGCACATTTCTGAGCCTCAATTTCTTAATCTAGTAAATGGAAATAATAAATAACTACAGTTCCTACCCCATAGGTTGTTTTGAGGTTTACAGAACATCATAGGATAAAGCACTTCTTACTGTGCCTGGCACATACCAAGTCCTCAGTAAACGTTAGTCATTGTTGCTATGGGCTCTCCCCACCCTTAGTGTGGCCACTCCACTACTCCCCACTCTCCACTTCGTACCCCTCATTGCCTGCTCTGATCCAATAAAGCTGGACAGCCTTTTCCAGAGCGTGATGGTGGGGAGGACAAGGCTTTGTACCAATTTCTCGACTTTGCCTGCATAATTTGGAGAGTTTCCCGAGCTTCTCCCAAGACAAGAAAGCATAGAAACTCCATTTGGAGCAGCCTCAGGAACCAGAACCCCAAGCAGCAAACTGGCCCCCCTCCCACACACAGACGCTTATAATCACAGCAGACGCAGACACACCCAGTCCTGCCCCTCCCCTGCCCCAGATCAAGGCACGTCTAAACCTGAATTGCCCTACCCTGGATGGGAGTGTGATGCCTAAGGAGGAAGGCTCTATGTACTGTACCAAGAAGTGTGGGCAGGCCTCAACCATCAATTCTTCTTCCAAGGAGGGAGGGATCCTGGGAACCAAAGTCCTGGGACCCTTTGTATGGACTAAGAGCCCAGCTACTCCCCCTCCACCTGCCCTCTTAAAGTGCTTGGATATTCTGAACCAGCTGTGCACTAACACACACTCGCACACACGTGTGCACACACACACACACACACACACACACACACACACGCTCCCAACTAGCATCCTGTGTCTTGGAGAGGGAGTCAGGTTGTGGAAAGTGCCAAGGCATGGGTATGCAGGTGAGGCACTCTTGGGAGACCCTCTCGAATCTGTCATGGCATCCCCTCCCCCAGCCCACACTCCCTGGGCGTGGCTGGCTGGTATCACCTTTTGGAGCCAACCCGTGGTGGTTAAGTGTGGCAGCTGCCCTGCCTGCCCTGCTGCTGTCTATCCTTATCTTCATGGACCAGCAGATCACAGCAGTCATCCTCAACCGTGCAGAATATAAGCTGCAGGTAAGATCTTCTGGGTAAGGCCAGCCTAGACCAAGGGACAGAAGCTCCAGATGGTATCCAGGCTTCTTCCCTCTCCCCGAAAAGGACAGAGGGCTGAGGGCCAGGCTAGCATCATCCTTGTCCATTACTCCTTCTGTATGTTCCTGCCCTTGCAGAAAGGAGCTGGCTTCCATTTGGACCTCTTTTGTGTGGCTGTGCTGATTCTGCTCACATCAACACTTGGGCTGCCCTGGTATGTGTCAGCCACTGTCATCTCCTTGGCCCACATGGACAGTCTTCGGAGAGAAAGCAGAGCCTGTGCCCCTGGGGAGGCCCCCAGCTTCCTGGGCATCAGGTGAGGACACTATTCAGGAGACTGGAGTGAAGGGTGGGCAATAAGGTGGGGTATGGGGTACATGGCAGGGTAGCTTGAGCAGCTTAAATTCTAAGTTTGTGCCCCAAGAGCACTGCACTGGGGTAAGTGGGTAGACCCTCGGCTTGAGATAGGTGAGTTAGCTCTTTCCTCTTCAAGCCATGGGAACAAGGAGGGGCCTCAAGAGAAGCATCACCTATACAAGGGTGGAGGCAGCCAGGGCTGAAGTGGAGGGTGAGGTGCCACTGATTCCAACTCAGTGCAGAAGCACATGGTTGGTGTTACAAAGGAATCCAATTCTGGAACTGTTGAAACCCAATTCCACTGCCTAAAGCATATGAAATCAAGTTTGTAGGTTGTGATATATAAATCTTTACAATAGTATAAAATTATAAAATTTCCATCAAAGTGAAAACAAAGAGTGACTATGAAACTGAACTGACGGAAAGGCCTGGGAACCCTCATGTTAAGTGTTCTGCCCCTGGCTGTCCACTATTTTTTTTTATAAGATGCTAAGGTCTTCTCCTTGCCAGATAACCTATTGAGGATCCTTCTGTTTTCTTCTGGGTGCCAGGGTGTACACTGGTGTGTGGTCAGGGACTCCAGCTTGAGCTCTCAGGGCTCTTCCAGACTTCACCTCATTTTGCCTTCTCCCCACAGGGAGCAGAGGCTGACAGGCCTGGTGGTGTTCATTCTCACTGGCCTCTCCATCTTCCTGGCACCTGTACTCAAGGTACCTCTGAGACCAGGCCCCGGGTCGGTACACTAATAACAAGTATGGCAAAGACAGGCACTGGCTAAGCACTCACTTGTGACAGGCGTGGTGTCTCCCTCACTGTGCGGTCTCATGGAGCCCTTGCATTAACCCAGAGAGGATGCTGTACTTTAAACATGGGAAACGGGAAGCAAGTAAAGTGCTGCAAGAACCCACCAAGAAACTAGGTATGGTGATAGGCACCTTAGTCCCAGCATTCTGGAGGCTGAGGCAGGAGGATCACATGGTTGATGTTACAAAGGAATGTTACAAAGGCTGAGGCAGGAGGATCACAGGAGGCCAGCTTGGGCTACAAAGTGAGTTCAAGCCCAGCCTGAACTGCACAGTGAGACCCTGTCTCAAAAAAAATATAAAAATTTAAAAAATTAAAAAGGCCAAATGAGTCAGTTTCTCAGATCTATGTGAGAAACCAAACTCTTATCCAGTAGGTTTCTGTCCAGTGGAGCAAGCTGTGAGCATGTCACCCATCCCTGGTCCAAGTACTACCCATGATGAGCCTATGTATGATTGTCATAGCCTAGAAAAGCTTTGAGACAAAAACCCTTTCTTCTCTCTCAGTAGAGGTTTAGAGAACTCTGCGTGCTGCCTCTGCTAGGCCCCTAAAAGAAGTGGGAGCAGGGGGCTTTGAAAAGTATTATGAAACCAAGCCCTTACCAACAACACACACACAGGAACAAAAACTAAGTAACAAGGAAGAGCAAATAGGTATTACAAGCCAAGACAGCAAAGTACTCAAGGAGGGTGTGGAGAGTGTCAGACAGGAGTCACTGGCAGGGCAACAAGAGACAAGAGGTTAGAAGAGGGAAAGGTCATTCAGGCTGAGTGAGAGTGATGAAGGAGAAAGAGCCAGATGGACTGGATCAACCTCTTACGAATTAGGTGACTCTCATAAACCTTATGCTAAGCACCATTCCAGGCACTGGGAATATAGTGATGATCAAAGGAGATAATGTCTCGGTCCTTACAGTCTGGTGAGAGAAGACAGATTTTACAAAATTAAAACAAAAATAGGATAACTTCAGGGAGTGATAACTTCTTTGAAAAATAAAAGAGGGTAAGGTGATTGAGAGTACCAGAGGCTATTTCACATTGGTCTAGCAAGGTCTTTCTGGGGTGTCATGAGAAGAGGCACAAAGTCTGGAGGAAGAAACATCTTGGTGGAAGGGACACCTAAGCAAAAGACGGCAAGGTGCTAGGCACAGTGGTGCATGCCTACAACCCCAGAACTGAGGGAGGCTGAGTCAGTAGGGTTACAAGTTTGAGTCATGTTGCTAAGGCAATTTAGCAAGAGCCTGTCTCAGAAGCTGGGTGTGGTGGCGCATGCCTGTAATCCCAGCATTTGGGAGGCTGAGGCAGGAGGATCACTGGGAGTTCAAGACCAGCCTGGGCTATATAGTGAGTTGAAGACCAGCTTGGACTGTATAGTGAGACCCTGTCTCACCACCCCCAAAATAAAAATAAAAATAGAAAAAATGCAAAATAAGAGGGAGTAGGGGGTATAGCTCAATGAGAGCTCACCTTTGGGTTGGATCCCAGTACTGGAAAAAGTGCCCATCTGATTGATGTGAAGTCAATGAGATGAGGCATGTAAAATGTGAAGGGAAAGGAAAAGCCTGGGCTGACTCAGATGCTGGACGATGGGCTTGGAGTCTGAGGTGGGGCATTTGGGTGGCTGAAGGAGGTAACCCCCTTTACTAGCTCTCTACTTCCTTCTGCCAGTTCATCCCAATGCCTGTGCTCTATGGAATCTTTCTGTACATGGGGGTTGCAGCACTTAGCAGCATCCAGGTGAGCCCATTAAAATCACCTAACAACCCCACTTCTGCCTCACCCTTCAGCTCCCCTCCTATTGCATCTTCCTGCCTCTCCTGGGCACAGGGACTACTGCCATGCTCTGGATGGGGAGAAGGCCAAGGGAGCATTCTGGCCCTTCTGCTCTGTGGGCTGGTATAGCTAATAATGACACCCTCCAGGCCCTGGTTTCTTTTTCCTCTCATTTCCCCAGTTTGTGAAGAGAGTGCAGCTACTGTTGATGCCAGCAAAACACCAGCCAGACCTGCTGCTCTTGCGGCATGTGCCTCTGAACAAAGTACACCTCTTCACTGCCATCCAGCTTGTCTGCCTAGGTCTGCTTTGGATAATCAAGTCTACCCCTGCAGCCATCATCTTCCCCCTTATGGTGACTTGGGGCAGGGCTGGGCAGTAGTAGGGGCTTCGGGGAGACTCTGAGCTTGGGAGAGTGGCTGAGACCTCCACAAGAGGAAGATCCTCTCCTGTCTGGATTTTCCTGGCCCTTCCTGGTTGGAAATATTAAGACACCCTCCCCCCAAAAAGATGGGGGATACTTGCAGATGGACTAGTCCTGGCAGACCTGATCAACTTCTTTTCCAACTTCTTTGGGTCAATGTATGAATCCAGAAGAAAACTGGGAGATCCTGGGAAAGGGAATCCTGACATTTTTGTTATGCAGTGAGGGGTAACACAGAGGAGGGCACTGCAGTTGTGCAACCTCTGGGCTGTTACTAATCTCTCAGGGCCTCAACTTCTTTCCCTGTGTGATGGAAATATTTGTTGTGTTTACCTTACAGGAATATGTTAGCCTTCTATGAAATGATACTCAATACTTAGCCCATAGGAAGTGCTCAATAAAGGTTAGAATTGTTAATGTTCCTGCTGTTGTTGCTGAAAACCTTGTGTTTGTTTCTATTCCTGCAGTTGCTGGGCCTGGTGGGTGTCCGAAAGGCACTAGAGTGGGTCTTCTCAGCACAGGAACTCCTCTGGCTGGATGAGCTCATGCCACAGGAGGAAAGTATTCCTGAGAAGGGACTGGAGCCAGAGCATTCATTTGGTGGAGATGAAAGCGAAGATGTGAGTTCCAGGTTGGGTCCTCCCAGAGGAATCACAGGGGTTGGGAGAGCACTCTTGACCAGAAGTTGTCTTTAAAGCTTAATATCTCCACTAAGCCTGAAGATCTGATCAACACAATCATTCCCCTTAGCTCTGTATTGACATAGGCAGAATGAAGGGGTGTTTCTCATAGTGCCAGGGCTCTAGTTTACGATACTGTGAGAGTGGACAGTACTGGGCTGCAGGCTCTCTTTCTCAACCCTGATCTGGGCCAGGGATGTAGCTCAGTGGCACAGCACCTGCCTGGAAAGAACAAGGTCCTGAGTTCAATTCTCAGCACACGCACACACACACACAAAGAAAAAAATAAAAAAGAAAAGAAAATTAACCCTGATCTTTGCTTTGTGTCGCGGTGGATTTTTATCATGTCTTTGGGTCCCATCCTCATCTCTTGTCTCTGTCTGTCTCTCCCTCTCTCTACCCTACCGTCTTTTACAGTCAGAGCTTATGTATCAACCAAAAGTTCCAGAAATCAACATCTCTGTAAATTAGTTGGAGCAAGAGTCTGGGAGTGGAGATCCTACAGAACCGATCATAAGGTAAGGGTAGGAGGCAAGTAAGTATTTCTGGTGCTGAGGATGGGGAGATATGGGCTCAGACCTTGGAAAACTCCTGCATATTGACCATCTGTTTCCTCTTCATACTCCAGTCCCTCATGAACCCTAGAGCTGGAGAAGAAACAGCAAGGTCTACCCAGAGGGAAGAATCAAATAGGCAAGGTACCTAGGCTTGACTCCCCGCCATTCTGAGGTTGCCAGTAGAGGGAGCACCAGTTCACACCAAATAGGATGGTGAGAGGGAGGGGACAGAGGAGGATGAGAGGAAGAGCAATGACCAATGAATGCACAGGAGATGAGGGAAGGGACAGTGCTCTGCTCTGTCCCCTTACTCAGGAGGTCCCCTTTAGGCTGCTGTGAACCACACTCTAGACAAGTGGAGGGATTCTTTTGTTTGTTTGTTTGTTTGTTTTTGTTTTTTTCTGGTACCGGGAATCGAACTCAGGATCTCGTGCTTGCCAGGCAGGCGCTGTGCCACTGAGCTAAATCCCCAGCCCCTAAGTGGAGGGATTCTTTACTCCTCGCCTTCTCTGCCTTCCATTTTCTTCATCCATAAATCATTTTTCTGAGGTATATCAAATATACCTATTACAGAGTTTTTAGGTACTCTAAATACAGTAGTGAGTAGAGCAACCATAGTCTCTGACCTTGGGAAGTTTAAATCTCAGTGAAAGAGTGAGCAGACAAATAGGCAACTCTTAGTGGGATAGTGCCAGATGAGGGAAGTACGGGGGAGCAGAGAAACCTCTAACCCTTCTCAGAGAACAGTAAAGGTGGGATGGTTGAGATTAAGGAAAGTGTGTAACAGGAAGTCCCCCATAACTTGAACAATGAATAGCAGGTAGGCAAGATAAGATGAAGGGAAATATGTTCTAAGCAGAAGCTACAGCACATCCAAGAGCCTGGAACTGTTTGCTCTTGCTAAGGTTAACCTTTTTTTTGGCCCCAGAACACCTTCTTCTCCATGCCTCTACAAGTTCAAGAATACAAGAGTCCCCACTACTTGCAATGGAAAGTTGAGGGGACTAGAGAGAGAGAGTAATTCAATGGTTTGCCTGGAGCAAGATTCCCTGGGCTTTCCTTATCACCTAATACTCCCTTTGCTCTGCTCTTTGCTTTATTTTGTCCCCGAGCACTTGCTCTGGCCTCATGGTGCCTTCTCTCAGTTCACAGGTGTTTACTCAGAAAGTCAGGACATTGTTCGCCTTTGACTTAGTTGCCAGATGCTGTCGGCTGGGGACCTGAAACAATGAGGCAGGACTGAAGAACAGTTGGCAAAGATGCCAGTCACCTCCTGAGCTGGCAGTGGTGGAAGTAGCAAGGAGCAAGTAGATTTGCTGGTGCTTAGGGAAGGCTGGTGAGCCAGAGGGACTGACCATTCATTTACTCTCTGCCCATTAAAGGGACTATTAGGGCTTGTGTCTAGATGTTTCCCCAAAGCCTCATGCAGTCATAATTGGGGTTTTATAGAGGTGGCTGGATCTAGAGTGTGACTGATTCATGGTGCAATGCTGGGATTAAGGGTGGGTGATTACTAAATCAGTTCACTGATCTAGACTCAATAGCCTAGATGGAGTACAACAAAAGGGGCAGAAAAAAGCTGCTAAAATCACTTGCTTGCTTTGCTACCTTCTGCCCACCATGAACTGTTTTTCTTCTGTGATGCCTATCTGCCATGCACCACCCTGCCTTGAAGCCAGCTGATTATGGACTGAAAGCTCTACAAACTGAGCCAAATAAACCTTTCCTCCTTAACTTTGGGTGTTGGGTATTTTTGTCTTAGCAATGAGAAGAGTAACTAATACAGGGACCTGAGCCCAAGAGCCCTTCACATTTTGAACTTTCTGTTCCCATAGATTTCATTTTATAGGATGTTTGGGGAGGGGGTCATCTTTTCTATTTGCAAAAGGAAGAAAAAGATCCTTTTCCATGATAAGTACTCTTCTATTTGGAACAGTTTTTTACACATATGCAAATAGATTTTTAAAATGTTTTGTTGGTGACAAAGATAAATGAGGCTACTAGAAAATACTGAAACATTATAGAAATATACATGTATATATATTTTTTGTGGTACTGGGAACTGAACCCACTGAGCATTTTTATTTTTGCAGTACTAGAGGGCTAAACCCAAAGCCTTACTGCTGAGTTATATCCCCAGCCCACTTATTATTTTTTTATTTTGAAGCAGCATCTCCCTAAAGTTGCCCAGGTTGGGCTTGAACTTGCAGTCCTCATGCCTAAGTGCATACCTGGCTCAGAAGTGTATAATTTTGAAATGGAAATCATCCTAGAAATAACCATTGTCAGAGCTGGGTGTGGTGGTGCACCCTTGTATTCCCAGTACTCGGGAGGCTAAGGCAGGAAGATCATTGCGAGTTTGAGACCAGCCTGGGCTACAAAGTGAGCTGAAGGCCAGCCTGACTGCATATCAAGATCCTGTCTCAAAAAGACCGAAAAAAAATTGCATTGAATATTTTCTTCATGTCAGCACACATGTATCCATCTCATTGATATTATAAGTACAAAAAGATATAATATATACAAAAGAGTACATAAAATGTCTTCTTCAAATGCAAGAATTTCTCCAGAATATACACCTAGGAGTGGAAGTCAGGAAAAACAATGAGAAGAAAAACTTGTATATCCAACACTTCGGTTAATAAACAGGATATGTCTAGTACGTAGGTGTCTTTCCCACATTGCATCACCCTTCTAGGTAAACATTATCAGGTTGGGGTTATAGCTTAGTGGTACAGTACTTGCCTAGTATGTGCAAGGCCCTAGGTTCAATCCCTAGCACCACAAATAAAAGTAGATAAACACTATCCTAAATTTTACGGTAATTATTTAAAAATAATTTAACTCCTCCATATATATCCTTATATTATTATAACTATTGTTATTGTTCTTCTTCTTATTATTATTACTACTACTATTTGGTCCTGGGAATTGAACCCAGGGCCTTCACATGGAGCTACAACTTCAGCCCCTTTTATTTATTTATTTGTTTGTTTTGTCTTTTTGGGACAGGGTCTTGCTATGCAGTTCAAGCTGGCTTTGAACTTGCAGTGATCCTCCTGCCTCATCCTCCCAAGTGCTAGGATTATAGGCATGCACCACCATGCCTTTTAAGAAAAAATATTAAAAAATGTTTTGAGACAGGGTCTTTGCTAAGTTGCCAAGATGCCCAGGCTGGACTGAAATTTGGAATCTTCCTTCCTCAGCATCCTAGAGTGCTGAAATTACAGACATGCAACACTACAACCAGCTGTCTTACATATTTTTGAATGTTATGTAAATGGAATCATAGTGTAGGAATTACTCTGTGACTGCTTTATTTATTTATTTATTTATTTGAGCTGGGAATCAAACTCAGGACCTTGCACTTGCCAGGCAGGCACTGTGCCACTGAACTATAGCCCTGCTCTGTGACTGCTTCTTTCACTCAACATTGATTTGAGAATCAATCATTTTGATGCATATAGTTGTAGTTTATATAATTTCATTGCTTTGCAGCATTCCACTGTATGACTCGACCATAATTCAGTTATCCAAATTCTATTGACTCAAAGAATGCACTGGTGAAATCACTGGGACTTCGTATTTGCTCTGTGGAAAGTTTAAATGCATTCAAATTATTTAATTTTCAGGCTTTTTATATTTTTCTTCAACCAGTTCTGGCAAACTACATTTGTCTAGGAATCTATTTTTACTCTGAGTAATTAATTTAAAGATAACAGTATGCAATGTATTAACCATTATTACTCTATTATTGTTTTGAAATTTGTTTTATTTTTTTCTCTTTAAAATAAAAAAATAGTTTTAAAAAAGGAATCTATTTTTTTCTTTGTGTGGAGCTGCGGGTAGAACTCAGGGCCTTGTGGTTCTCTACTACTAAGCCAAATCCCCAGCTCTGCAATCTCTTCATTTTCTACGTCTTTACCTATTGATAAAGTTAGTGTAATAACCTTTATTTGTTTACTCTCTAGCATATTGGGCAGCTGTGTTTTCTGTATCACTTTTAATATTATTTAATAAAAATTTCAAAACAAGATAATAGGAGAGTAACAATAATTAATACATTATGTGTTATCATCAGAGTACTCAAGAGTACAAGATATAGGCATAAAATATTGTGCAAATACTATTAGCACAAACTTTTGTTTTCTATGAACTAAGAGAAACTAGCAGTATAACTATCTTGTTTATATTATATATATATATACACACACGTTTCCTTTTTCTCATCACACTTTTTTTCTTTTGAACAGTTTCTTCTTAGTTTACAGTATCTATTGTACATTTCTGGCCCTATTTACTCGTTCAGCTTCTCACACTAGTGAGACTAGTGTTTACACATGTGGGTCTGATTTATTTCACTTGTGAGTACGGTCTCCAGTTGCATCTATTTACATATAAAAGTCTCAAGTTTATCCTTCTTTATGGCTGAATAGTACTCCATTATATAGAAAAACACATCTTTTTTATCCATTCTTTGGTTGATGGGCATTTGGGTTTGCATTCTATTTTTGGTGGTGTTGTTCTCAGTTTCTCTTATCACAGTGTATTCTATCAGTCTTCAAAAACTTCATTTTTTCTGGTGAATACAGTACTTTTATTTCATTAATTTCTGCTCTTTTGTTACTTCTCTCCTGTTTTCTTTAGGTTTATTCTGTTGTTTTTCTAACTTCTTAGTTCCTTGAGTCCTTTTTTAAAAAATTTTTTTTCTAGACAGGGTCTTGCCATGTAGTTCAGGCTGGTCTTGAACTCACTATGTAGCCCAGGCTGGCCTTGAACATGTGCTGATCCTCCTGCCTCAGCCTCCTGAGTGCTGGGATTATAGGTGTGCACCACCACACCTGACTATAGAGCTGAATTCTATTAAAGGGCTTCCCAGGGAGCAACAGATTGTTCATTCATGTATCCATTCAACAAATATGTGTTAAATAGCTATTACAGAAGGGACCATTAAAAAATAGAAGGGGAAAAAAATGGAAACAAAGCTTTTGTAAATAAAGAGGGTAAGAGGGGTTGAATGGAGGGGATGGGAGTGGGAAAAAAGAAGCAAGATATATCACATACAGGTACAAATTCCCTATGATAAATGTTATCATTATGTGTATCTAAAGTATACCAATACAACAAAAAAATGCACAAAAATATCAACCCCCCAAACACACACACACACACACACACACACACACACACACACACAAATAACAGGGCTGGGAATATAGCTCAGTGGCACAAGCACCTGCTTGGTAAGCGCAAGGTCCTGAGTTCGATTCTTGGTACCCACCCAAAAAACCCCCCCAACACACAGGGAGCTGCGGGTGGGGAGCGCCAGCCTTCTGGCTGGCTAGCTTCCTGCCTGCTGGCTCCCGGAGGGTGGGCCCCCAGCGCACGGGGAGCCTCGGGCGGGGAGCGCCGGTCTTTGG